GGACTTGTGGGGCCTAGTGCTGGAGAGAAAGTCTTGGGTCACGGCACAGCACATCCCTAGAACATCGAACGAGGTAGCGGATGCAGCATCGAGATGTTTCAACAACAACCTGGAGTGGTGTCTACGCCCGGATTTTCTTCAGGCGGGTGGTAGAACGGTTCTACCGGCCATCAGTGGACCTCTTCGCGTCACGGACCAGCCATGTTCTTCCACAATATGTCTCTCGTCACCCAGACCCAACAGCAATTTCAACGGATGCCTTCCGATGCAACTGGGGCAGATGGAGGAGCTGGATATACCCCCCAGTGATATTACTTCCGCGGATCCTGAACAAGATAAGGCAGGACAAGGCAACAGTTCTGATTCTAGCCCCTTGTTGGCAGGGACAACCATGGTTTCCTCAGCTACTGGATCTGCTGATTTCGCTTCCGTTCGAGCCATAGAAGGAACATCCCCTCCAAGACAAGCTCCGACTGACGGTATGGCCCGTATTCGGGAACGCTATCGCAATTCAGGACTTTCAGAGGCGGCTACAAGAATTCTCCTATCATCCTAGAGTGAAGCCACCGAGAAGCGGTACTCAGGCCCATGGAACGCTTGGGCAGGCTGGTGTGCTAAACGGTCTTTGTGTCCCTTTACTGCCCCTGTAGACAGCGTTCTCTTCTGTCTGGCGGAGTTAGCAGACCAGGATAAATTAGCCTACAGGACGATCGGAGAATACAGATCGGCTATCTCTCAAACCCATGACCCAATAGGTAATGTTCCGCTGGGGAAACTACCCATAATGTCGCGGTTTATGAAGCGGATCTTCAAGCTAAACCCCCCACGGCCTAGGGACTACATGGTGGGTTAGAGATGTGTTAGCATTTATGAAGGCACAAAAGCCAGTCGAGGAACTTAGCTTGAAAGAACTTTCGTGGCAATTAGTTTTGCTGTTAGCCTTAACATCAGCAGCACGGGCCCATGAACTAGCAGCATTAGACCTGTCGTTCCTTACTGAGATAGACGAATCATGGGAGTTCTCCTTGACGATTCATGTTAAGCAATCTAGCATATATATAATAGATAATCTGCATATCCAGAGAATGCCAAACTCTGCGTAGTCCGTACTCGGAAGGAATACCGGGGCAGGACGGCGAAATTCCACAGATCATCTAAGCTTTTGTTGGCAATAGTTTCCCCTCATGCACCCATAACGGCTCAGACGGTGTCAAGATGGTTAAAGAACGCTCTAGCACTTGCGGGGATTAATCCTGAGTATACAGGACATTGGACTCGAAGTGCATCAACATCCACTCTTCAACGTACACTCTTCAAACCTTTGATTTCTAATGATCAAATCTTTCCCTTTCACTCTACGCTTTACGTCAACCGAATGAGTTATATCAGATTTATCAGTTTTTGTTTGACTCGCGCTCTGCTTTACGGCATCGCATCTCACGATGAATTTCAATTTCACGCTCCAACGCTTGAACCTTAACCTCTTGCAGCTTCTCTTCATAATTTAATTTTTCTTTGAGCTTTTCAATTCTTTCCTCTGCTTGGCGATCCTTTTCCGAATCGGCGGTTTCTTTCTATTTACACGACAGTTTTTCCGAAATTACTTGTTTTTTGCTTTTAGATGAACGCGAACTCGAACAACAGTTCTTGCTACATCCTATAATGTATTCGTCCGCTTAAGTCAAACAATGTATTGTCTTCTCCTCAAGCTCAATCAGCTTGTCGAGGGCAAGGTTCATGTCTATATATCATCTGTTAAACTAAGTACGTGTTCGTTGTGGTACGCTTTGTCCCCTTCAAGTGCTTCTTTAAGTGTATTCTTCTCGATTTCCTTCACTCCCGCCTGCTCAAGCATCAAAGTATTTATTCGATTTATAATCTTTGTTACATGCGACATTTTACCGCGACAGCTCGCTTTCTTAACACGTCTAATCTCTTCTTTGTCTATAGAGTTTTCACCTTTCGCTCTACATATTATATAAGCCTAATTTAAATCTATTAATTATTCGTCTAAACAGTCCCTATCCGAGCAACAGCTAGTAATTAGTATTTTTGTGACTACCGCGTAAGCGGTAGCCACTATGTCAGAGGCTTGCTTGCTTGCTTGCTTGCTTGCTTGCTTGCTTGCTTGCTTGCTTGCTTGCTTGCTTGCTTGCTTGCTTGCTTGCTTGCTTGCTTGCTTGCTTGCTTGCTTGCTTGCTTGCTTGCTTGCTTGCTTGCTTGCTTGCTTGCTTGCTTGCTTGCTTGAATGCTTGTCTTCGACCATGACGTCACACTCAGCACTACGTCACACAACTGATGTACATCACACTCGGCAGTTTTCGCCATTTATCGCCAACCTTTCCGGTGCAATCAAATATGCAATTCAAATGCAAATTATTTTAGTATCAACACAGCTTTTCTATACGTACGTTGTTTTGCTTACATTTTTGAGCTGTTTGAACTTTGCACGTCTTACTCAAATATAATAATCAATATTTAAACGACACGTATGGTCTTCTAGTGTGAAAACAGCTACAGTAATTAGACGACACCTGCAGACCGCCGACAGCAGGCGATTTGTTTGTCTATAGACGATTTGTTCGTCTTCTGATGTGAAAACGGCTAATCGCTCTTAATCAATACAGCGGATGCGTTGCAAAACCAAATGCAATTTCTATACTTTAATAATAACATGTAATATTTGTAGATGTGAATGCTGTCTGCTGAAACTTTAGTATATAGCTCACATGCACAATCAGTTTCTGTAAACATAAGTACAGGCAGGAACGCAAAATAAAAGGCCGTGTCATTCTACCTAAAATTATGCTTCGGCCGAACAGGTCTGAACGTGATCCCAATTATTTTATACATTGTCACGCATCGTGATTCACTTCAGCATTAGCTTTACTGCCATCATTGAATATGATCAATGAATGTGGTAATTATTGGCACGGTGAGTAAAATAGCCTGCTTATTTAGGAAAGAATGACCCCCTTCATTAATCATCAGCAATGAACAGTGATAATGATATGCCGATCCTCACTGATCCATTGTATTCTTCTCTGACTGACAAAGGATTTTACACATGCACCAATGACCTCCGGTAATGACATGGCCCATTCTTTGGACTACAGGGTGTCTTAAAAAAAACGCAATCACTTAAATATGCAGAACATTAATACAGCTCTAAAGCGCAATAGATACGCACCTCTGGGAATTGAAAATGGCTCTTAATCCTTCATTTGAAATGCTAAAAGTCATTTTAGCTGAACGATGGTGCAAACCCGAACAATATTAATATTCTTGCATATTTAAGTTGTCGCGTTTTTTTTGAGACACCCTGTACAGTAGTGTCAACCACGCGCTTTAGTATAAAAAGTCACACCCAGTTTACCGTGCTGATTCAGTGAATCAGTTTAATCAGACGATATTCATGGCTTCAAGAAGAAATAATCCGGCCGTTATTGGCTACATACACAACCTGTCACCTTTGAAAAAAGGTAAACTGAATGGTGCGACTTCGAACTCCAAATGCAAGACAAACGGGTACAACTATTAGCACTAGTTATTCTGCCAGCCATATCCATGATACCACTCAGATGACAAAGACAGAGCGGTTGTCGCATGTACGCGCTGCGTACCTATTTTTGCACTAGTGAATATAAAAAATCCTACATTCTGATTGGTCAAATTTGTCGTATTATGCTTTAATATTCACCTTGACGGCTAGCCGTTTTGTGGACGTTTCCTGCAAAGAGATAAGCGAGCAAATGCAGTTCTTGTGTCAATTCCCTTGTGGAAAAATGCTAAAACAAATATTCGCCTTATGCTCGGTGATTATCGGGGAATATTCATCTCGACTTCGTCTCGGGAAAAATTCCTCGATAATCACCTCGCCTTCAGCGAATGATTGTTAAATATTATAGTGATTGTTATCTGACACTATACATTAACGTCCTTGAGGCCATTTTTCTCTACTTCGTTCATCTGACTGGATTATCACTACATCACCTTCCGCTACAGTAAATGAGGTTTTCTTGGTTTTCTGACTATGACGTTCTCTTAAGCCACGAAGATACTCGTTTGTCCACCTTGCCACATAGCATCTTTACACTTTAGTAGATACTTCGCACGTTTTCGCAAATCAACTTCTTCAACATGATTCATGGTTCAAGCTCTGGTGCACACGTTGATCCGACGAATACATAGAGTTAGGTGTCAGTGTAGGCAACTTTACATCGTACTCGACATAACTGAGAGGCCTATACTATTTAGTGAAACCTCAATAGTGATGAAACCAAGTAAAACTTCCTGGCACTCGTTCCATTTGAGGCAACTTTTCCCGATCGTTTTGTTTAAAGCTCTTTTCACCAGTCTGATTAATCTCTCAAACTGCCACCAAGGGGCGCGGCTTTGATTGATTTGATGCCAGGAAATCGTCGAGTTTCTCGTCTTTCTGCGCTGTTATCAGCCATTTAGCTGCGGCTTCGAACGTTTCAGCATTACTTTGTCCGGCCTTCCTCCCCTGGCTATAAATCTTTTAAAGCTCTGCAGAAAATCTCTAGTTTCCAACGAAGGTAGCAGCTCGAGGTAGACTGCCCGCGAAAAGCCACATGCATACAATATATATGACTTTGCTTTCTCACATAATTCCCCAAAAGTAAATCCCAAAACGAATCACAACGCAAGCACTATTTTCTAATTGGTTAGTTTAAATTAGATTAGTTATGTTTACTTCTGGTTAGTTCTATTAGTAGAAATAAATGGAAAAAATCGTTGCAAAACCTGTCATCGTGAATTGTTTCTTGTAAAGTTATCAAATTGCCCACATCATTCGGGAATATGGCACCATTTGTTTCCGCTTATCTGTTAAAATTTAATTTTGTTTGAATTCTGTAGCCTACTCTGAACCTTTTAGAACTCTGAAAAATAGCAGCGCAAAAATTTTCTCCGCCTGTAAGGGAATTTTTTAAGAATATTTATGTTCTGCAATGATGTTAAAATTCTTTTTATTATAGATCTCCAGAGAAACGTTTGCAACAGTCACCAGAGAAACCGGCAGAAGATATCTCCTTATATATTGGCAATATTCCATCAACTATAACTAATGTAAGTTGAATGTGCATTGCATTCTTCTGCTTTGATTTTAATCAAATCGACAAAAACATCGGTGTTCTCCGCTTTCAATTATGCCGTATCTTTGCAGTGAGTCGGAATCGGGGACATTAACAGTGGTTGCCCCACTTGTCTCGGCCGGAGGGGGCCCAGGGGGGAGGAATACTTTTCCATTGTGAAGGATTGCAATTAATCGTTAAAAATCAGCTTTTTAAACAAGGCTTGAAATGCAGCCAATGAACTTTAAGAATAGCTCATTCCTTTGGCGGAAAACCCGAATTCCTAGATTTTATAACGAAAAAAAAATACGATAAGACGAAGTTTAGCCGTAAGTTATTTAAAAATTCTCTATACCTGAAACAGACGTTTTTTCAGCCCTTTGCCTTCGCATCATTCTGGAATCTCTGATTTTTGTTTGTGTATTACATATAGTTGAGTGCGTACTGTGCTCTTTTTCGGCACGGGCTATTGAGCCTGGTTTTGTTTCATCTGACATCCAAATGGCAGCAACTCCAACACGAAACCAGGAAGGGTGCATGTTTCATTATTAAGAAAGTTGATGGGTATTTTTTATTTTTACAGGAAGGTATCAAAAATTTTTTGGCTGTTGGCAAGGTACAGTCTTGCAAAATTTTGCCTCCAAAAGATTCCTGCAATGATACAAAATATGGGTGAGTACGATATGATACGATATTTCTCATCTTAATGGTTTAGATTAAATTGTGGTTTTTCGGTCCAAAGAACAAATTTTTTTCTCCATCTGACCGCAATTTTGGTTTTTTGGAAAAGTCAAAAGAGTGCTCAATACTATTTAACAATTAGTCGCCGAAGGCGAGGTGATTACAACCCTATATTCACTGAGCCGAAGGCGAAGTGAATATAGGCTTGTAATCACCGAGCCTGAGGCGACTAATTGTTTTATAATTTCAGTATTGAAAAAGGTTTATTTTTAAATACAACTGATTTATGTTCTCAATTTCTGCTTCCGAAATTTTTCCAAAACGATTTTGAGTATTTTCAGCCATGTTTTTTGGGGAAAAGCAATAGTTACGGCTCAGACTGATCTGAGCAGTAACTATTGCCTCATAGTTACTGCTGAAGGAGCCAATCAGAATGCTCAAAGGTCATTTTTCAATACTGAAATTATACTGAAAGATGTTAGTAGAGCGAATTAAGTAGATGAAATTAAGTCTTAAAATGGATTTATTTAGTTAGAAACACTTCTCCTCTACAAATACTTTACATAAATTATTCCGTCGAAATACAGTCAGAGTTAGCTACAGCTGCATGCCCAACATTAAAAACCTAATATCTCGTCACAACAAGCAAGTATTATCAAAACCCGTAACCGCTCCAACTCAAGGTAATTGCAACTGCAGGAATTTGGAAGAATGCCCTTTGAATAAAAACTGCTTAACTAAAAACATTGTGTGTAAGGCAAGGGTGGCATCAGTCGACGGTATGACATACATACATACATACATACATAATTTATTTGAACTCCTCGCAAGACTTTTCAGCTCAAATTTACAAATGTCCTATGCTATTTATATTACCTATAGATCTATTTTACAACAATTTATATTACTAAGTATAAAAAATACGTATGGTAAGTATAGAAAACTATACTTAATTTAGAGATTCATTAAGAAGGCTCATCCTTAAATTATATTTGAAGCTTTGAACTGTATATAGCTCTCTATATAAAAGATTTCTGAGCAGTGGAATTTCTACATAGGGGTTTATGCAATTTATTTTCCTGACGTGTAACACGACGACTTATGTCAGATCGTGTTATAAACCTTTGACACAAGCATTCTGGTGCTCTATTTTTCATGCATTTGTACGTCATCACGCAATCTCGGTTCATATAGATATAGAGTTTTTTCAACTGGTAACCATTTCAACTGTTTTAAAACAGGCGTTATATGAACATGCTTACGAACTCCTGTTAATATACGTGCAGCAAAATTTTGCACTGTTTGAAGTTTGCAAATATTCTTTCGAGTAGTGGACGACCACACAGATGAACAGTAAAACAACTTCGATAGAACAACTGATTGAATTATTATTTCCAGGACGCGTGGAGCAAATAATTTCTTTATCCTATTTATTTGATATAATTTTTTCATGCATGAAGAAACCACTTCATCAATGCGAGCGTCAAAGGACAAACTCGAGTCCATAATCAAGCCGAGATCTTTGGCGTTGTCCACCGGTTGTATAGCCGTCCTGAGAAACGTAAACTTGATATTTCCTTGGATTTTTTTCAACATTTGGGATGTACCAAAGAACATTATCTTGGTTTTACCAGGGTTTGCTAGAAGACTGTTATTACATAAATATGTAGCGACAGTAGAAAGGTCCTCGTTCACTATCGATACCACATCTTCCATTTCACTGACACGAAATGATGAAAACAATTTAGAGTCGTCAACGTAGCTTTCCAAATTACTCTTTAGTGGAATAGTTGGAAAATCATTAATAAAGATATTAAATAACAAGGGTCCGAGGATACTTCCTTGTGGGACTCCTTTCGTTACAGCTGCATGGAGTAACTCAGATGTTTCATTACCAGTACGAACAGCTTGCATTCGGCCAGAGAAGTAACTCTTAAACCATTCAAGTGTAGACAATGAAATACCGCAAAGCTTTAATTAGTGTAAGAGAAGATCGTGATTAATACTGTCGAATGCTTGCTCAAATCAAGCAAAACCAAGACAGTGGTTTTCTTTTCGTCAATAGCGTTATAAATATGGTCAGTGACCATTAAATGAACAGATTCTGTCGAATGTATGACGGCAAATACGTTCAAGGAAAGATACCGTAACCACAAGAAATCGATTAACAATGAGAAATACGAAAAAGAGACGGAACCCTCCAAGTACATCTGGGGATTGAAAAAAGACGGTACGGAATTCGAGTTGAAGTGGTCAGTATTGCGGCATGCTTATTCTTACAAACCTGGTGGAAAGCGTTGTAATCTCTGCATCACTCCTATGGATTATCACTCCTATGGAGTAGAAATCGTGACTCGTCACTAAAGATGACTTTTGACCACTGTTCTGTTGTTCAGTTTTTGTGCATCCTCACAAATTGAAGACGTGCTTTCTTGTGGCGAGAGGTAAGACGTGGCTTCTTCCTTGGTTTGCAGCCATTGAAACCAGCTTCTCTTAACCTTCGTTGGGTGGTGGAAACAGAGATATTGACTCCATGCTCATTTTGCATCTCTGCTTTAATCTCGGGAGCGGTTTTAAAGCAATCAGCTTTGCTTTTTCGAACCAAGATGTTGTCTTCTCTTCTTGTTGTCTTTCTTTTCCTGCCCAGTATCTTGCAATCTTTAACGCTGCCAGTGAGTCTCTTCTTCTTAAGATGTCACTGACATTTCTTTGGCTGCAGCCAATTCTGCTAGCAATCTTGCGTTGGAAGTAGCCTTCGTTCGACAATGCCAGCACCATTCCTCGACGTTCAAGACTGATTCTTGGCTTTGGACCCATGATTTCGTAACTTGCTTTAAATTCTTCTTATCGACTGAATAACTCTTGTTGAAACTGGAATAAACTACGACTTTTGATTTAACGCTTATCTAGGTCAAAAGACTTGGCGAAGAATGTGGGACATTTCCACACGCGGTAAACATAATTATTTATGGAAAAAGAAAGTAAAATCTTTTGTAACAAGATAAAACTTTTGCCTATACATGAAATACCAATTTGAGCAGTTCTTTTTGACCGCTAGTGTATATATATATGTTTCCCAGGGTTACCATGTTTACTAACGCTCCCTAACCATTGTGTTTTGCGTACCCTAGTGTTATGTGCTTAATTCTATTGTATAATCTTGTGCATACAAACTATGGTATTTGCAGTTTTTTAATACACCCTGTAGACAAAGCAAACAATTACCGACAACGTTTGTTCTTGATGCATGGTATTCCCAAAGGGCCACCAATGCGGTTAATGATCACATCGAATTACCTGGTATTTATGTTACCCTAAATTAGCAATTCTAATAACATCAACTTGTATACACTAGTGTTACGAAATGCGCTTATACAGTGTGTATAAAAAAAATTCGAATCCAACTTTGACAAGCTGCTGCGTATAAAATACTAAAGTAAACGATATCTTTTTTATATGGCAGCCTTTTTTATATGGCAGCAAAGATTAGCTTATTTAGTTTACGATCTTATACCGTTCTTATACCGTTCTTATATCGAGGAACTGGCCGAGTTATCGTCTTTTAAAAATTGTTGCTCGAAATCAAATTTCCGCCAATGGAATCAAATGAGACCTCCATACATCTTCAAACTTCTATTGTTGAACAAGCTTTATAGGACATAAGCATAAGCATCATAACACAATTTTTGCGATAAATTTGCGTTTTAGTTTTTAGTAATGATTAGATTTTAAAGCTCTTTGGGACTAATTTTCAATAAAACAAACGTCCAGTTCCCATCGGCGGAAAATGGTGATTTTTATGAACTTTTTTTGTCGAACCAGTACTTCTTCATTTTTTAACTAAATTATACGTACAACGTGTCGTTTGAAAGAGAAATAAATGAACTTAACAATGGTTTAAAAATTAAACCAAATTTGTCAAATATATTTTGCATTATTACACGCAAAATTTCGATTCGATTTTTTTTTATACACCCTGTATAATGTAATTTAGCATTGTTAAATAAATAGAAGGTCAATATCGATGAGGAAATTACTCGGGGAACATGTTACATAAAACGTCGTGTAAAGTAAATATTATTATGACCCTTCGGAATAACAAAATTACTTTTCCTGTCATGAGGTGACAGCCCATAGGATTTCCTCCCAAACAATAGTACTGTCGTACAAAGTTCAAGTGTCACGATCTTCTAGGCGGATACAAGTTTATGTCAATCATTTCTTTGTTATATTTTGCTCGGTTAAGCACTTGAAGCCGTACGTCACGAAAAGCTTAATTTAATAAAATTATTAGTAAAATAGTTTATAAGTTTGAGATACGGTTCACAAAGTAATAATTTGGTAATTGTACTTTAAGTTGATGAAGAATATTTTAAGTTGTGAACAAGTTTTAACAATGGTCGATTAAGCAAATGACCAACTCCGACTAGTGCGTCACCGCTCTTAAGTAAACAAAATATGAGAGCTGGAGTGAGCTTCTAACGCCAACCCACACTTGTAACCTACAACGCTGATTGAACAGTAGACTACAGTTCTACTGCCATACGTCCAAAAAATTAGCCGCGACGGCGGGCTTAGCGGCTAGTTTCGATTCACCGAGCATGCGCCAATTCGGCCGCAATCATAGTACGTGCAAGTACACATGTCACACAATGCTAACCTACACCATGATTTGTTCGAACAAAACGCTACTTGAAAAAGCCGAAGACATGTTGCAAAGTAGGGCCATCCGAAACGGCTATATTGGAAAATACTCCGGATGTACATTTGTTTCTTTTTTTTATTCAAAGCGGTCATCGTGATTACAAACACGAGGAAATCTGTATTCTATCACATCAGCCACGTTGACATGTTCAGGAGACTGACGACTAAACACAACCTTTCCTGAATCGGTCATGCACAGAATGACACAGTCTATTTGACTGGCCGTGACTTTTGCAGAAGAAGCTACCTTCGTGGAATCAGTAGACTCTTAGTGATTTATAAAGTACACCACCGTTCGCAATTTATATAATTGGAAAAAAGTTAATTTTGTTCAGTGATCAAATCTTGCTCGAGTTTTCCTACAGAGGCTTTTTCGTGATATCACAACAGTGATTATCCCACAAAAGATTAGTCCTTTCTGCATGCCTCGTACCCGCGCGTTATATGTTTTTCTACTAAAGCGCCTGCCTGGTGAGTAAATAATGATTGACTGACATGTTTCATAATATCAAGTGCATATCAACGTATGTATTCATTACGAGGGCAGTCCATTACGTGCTGTTGCTCGGTGGAAATTATTTTTCCAGGATTTTTTATGGATATAAAATCAATATTTAAAAAATATATTAATTTTTTAGCTTTGTTAAATTTTATACTTGGAAAGATGCTTTAAAAGCTATTGGGGAATATGATGGATTGTGTCTTGGTAGTGAAGAGAAACTTCGCGTTAGAGTTGCGCACAGAAGACGGGATGACGATTATTTTTCTCGCGATGAAGAATACAGTTCATCGGATGGAACTGCCAAAGATAATCCAAACAATGGACAATCTCCTTTTGATGAATGTCATAAAGTGTAAGTATATAAAACGTATAGCTTTGATTGATTATTCTTCGTCTTTATTACACCTAGCGTTTATGTTATACAGTGCAGCTCCCTTAGGGGTAAGTGAAGTCAAAATGTAATCACCACGTCCTGTTAGATTCAAAATTTTGTATATGTTGAGTTTTTGAGTCAGTTTATAGGCGAAGTGTAATATAGCGTTTTGCCTATAAAAGTTTGCACTTAGCGAATAACGGTATTCTAAGCGTACGCGAACGCATACAGTTATTGGGAAATCTTTTGATATATGTGTAGGTCGTTTGAGTACTTCGGTGGATCCAGCACTAGTGCACTAATTGCATTACAAAACAAAATGGCTATTTTGAGCAGTTTTCTTGTGTCATGCAAATTGGTGCACTAGTGCTGAATCCACCCCTGATTCTAGGCGTTGAAGTTTACAAACAACGTTAATGTGGGTCATTGCCGCTCAAAGTTTTTCTTATCCTTATATTTGTTTCGCGCTTTCGCTTTCGAAACTTCGCTTGCTTAAACATATTCTCCTTATTTTAAGCCAAGGTAATTCCGCATTTTTGAAATTTGCACTATCCTTGGATCCCTACTTACTACTCGCAATATTGAACTTTTTGCCCATACTCCTGGAAAAAAACCTAATAAAACATCTTTGGAATTTGGGAAAAAGACTTTTTTGCGACAGTAGCTTTTGAACTCACTGAAACACCCTTTCCTCTTGTATTTCACTACTTACACAAGAGTGTATATTCAACGGTTAAGGATCATTGATAAATCCAATTACAGTTGCGCAATTACAAATACTTATGTAAAACGATAAAAAATTGAAATGGCGACGTGTTGGAAAACCGTTATGTAGGCTATTGTGCTTGTCAAATCTTCTAAATGAAGTCGGCACCCCGACTTTTCTTTTGGTTTTAACTATCATAGACTACATCCCTGGAAAGTTTCAGCGCATTCTCATTTAGGGAACAAGTGCTGCGGTATTACCTTGACATTTGAGTCAAAGCCTTCTTATCGTAAAAAAAGTTTTAGCCAAACTTTTTCAAAGGGCTAGTATTACTAATCTATATTACTATCTATATTGCTCATTGGTGACGATTTGAGCGAATCGCTCTCGACTTTTTAGAGGGTGAGGAAACCAAAGTCAGAAATAATCATCCTTCTCTAGGGAATAGATCATTGTAATTCTTGATCTTGAACGAGGAATTGCTAGTAAGCGCGAGTCATCAGCTCGCGTTGATTACGTCCCTGCATGCCCATGTACACACCGCTCGTCGCTACTACCGATTGATTGATTTAGTGAGGCCTCCAGGTTGCCACTGCATGTCAGATGGGCTTCGGCCCATCAGACGGACGTTATAAAGTTTTTCAAACTTGATAAAATAAATTCATTGCGTAAATGAACATGATTTTACCCAAATTGTTTTACGTCGTTATCTTTGTGTGATTAATTATGGTCGTCAATGTTCTCAAGAATATAAACTTGTTCTTTGCTACCACAAAAGTTCTTGCATCACAAAAAGAAAATTTGATCACTATCTATTATCCGAATTTCACACGGACGAAAACTGTTGCAAAGGTCGTGTTCGCCTTTAATACTAATCCTGTTTTCAAACGATGTTGAAATTAATCCCGCTCCAAATTGTCCACTCGGAAGACAAATTGAAACAAGTCTATCTCGCGCAATATCTTGTTTACGGAGAAAATGCTAACCTCGCCTTTGTCACGGAAACATGGCTGAACAAAAATATCAGTGACGCAGAAGTATTATCAAACGATTACGAGATCTATCGAAAGGACAGAGGAAGCCGTGCAGGTGGTGTATTATTGGTGGTTAAGTGAAGTTCGTTTCTTTCTGTACACGAAACAGTCGAATAACAACGCAAACTTGAATTGGTCTCTGTAGAATTGATGACGAACTCAAGAACCAAACGATGCGTATACTGCTGCTATAGACCTCCTAACGCAGACAGAAATTGATTAGATTCACGAATTACGTTTTACCGAACTTTTGAATGACTACTTCCTTACGCAAGTAAACCATTTATACCAACTAAAGGTGAAAACATCTTGGACCTGATCAAGTTAAAGCGATTGATATTTTGCAACCGAAAGAGAGTGGGATTGTTACTGATCATCATGTATTGTTTTCGAGGTGGGCGCTGATGTGAAAGCTCCAACTAAACTGAATAAATACATGTACGACTACCAAAGAGGCTACTTCCAAGGGCTGCGCTCGACTTTGCATAACATTGACCTTGCGCGAACATTATAGAAAGCAGTACAAATGTGAACGTTGCGTGGTCCCAATGTAAAAAAAGTTTGCAAGTGCAACACGTGAGTATATCCTCACAAAAAAATTCAAAAGGCAAGAGGTCATCGTTACCCTGGATAACTGGTGATATTTTGCGTCTTATCCAGAAGAAAGAATTTGGACGTACGGGAAGCTTTTGAATAAGTCACTTGCGACGGGCGTTTTTCCAGACGAATGGAAACTTGCTAATATTGTACCGAGATAATAAAGTCACATCACCAGTCACCAGACTTAAATGTTGGACAACAGATATTGGTTTGTCATTTTTAACCAAACGAAGTATATAGTGCCAACGCATCACACCGAAGAAAAGACCATTTCAGTCTCCGTACACCCTTAACGGCACAGTACTTGATGTTGTTATTCATTGTATAGGTGTCGAGCAGTGTACTGAATGAAATGCGAAAAATTTGAAGCCAAGATGGCGGAATATAAAGCCCACTGATGAAGCCTTTCTTGTTCGTATGATCCAGGCCTCCACACGGAAATTTCGTAGGTAAAATGCCAGAGGCCTGGGTCATACCTACAAGAAAGGCTTCAAGAAATCCCGTTCACATGATACCGGCAGAGTTTGAAAACGAAACGAAATTCTTACTTTTAGGGGCTCCTACCCGCGATGGCGGTATGAAAAAATGTGAAATCGTAAGAGTTTGAAATCGGTATGCTATCAATCATAACTTTCTCTGCCGGTAGCTTCTTTTTCATTTTCCTATTCCGTTGGTCTTCAATATAATCAATCAAATCTCTTCGTCCAGATGTTCGGGTGACGTTGGTTTGTTTGATGGAGTTTTTACAAAGGTGGAACTTTCGTCGACATCGTAGTCATCGCAATGGCAGGCGTACAGCCATTTTTTTCGTGATCTAATTGTGTAGTTGTAAATTCAGTTACTTCGTCTTCTTTTTCTCCGGCATCGTTCTCAACCGAACCAATAGGGACCTTAAGCATGTAGGACGGCAACACGACGGCGGCGCGGTTGAAATACTCCTTTAAATAAATGCTATGGCAAAGTTGTTGTTGTATATTATTAATTGTACCGATTTAGTGAGTGTAAGGCGTTAAGAACATTGTGTTTATGTTCAAGGACAATTCTGTAGAGCGTAATTCGAGGTAGGGCTCGCTGGGTCCTGAAATGCACCCGTTCTAGGCAAGACGTAAAAAACCACGTTTTCCCGTTGTAAACAGAACGAAGACGACTTCTAAAACCCATCATGGGTCTTTAATTATTCATTTCTTTTCAATGACCCATTGTATTGATAGCCGTCGTCGTCGCGTTTGCGTCCTACTTGCTTAAGGTCGCTAATATTAAAGGACGCAACTCCGACGTGGAACCTGCCAAAATGCTTGAACATATATCGAAGAAGGTGGCCACTATACGCCCTCCCCCACTTCGTCTTTCACTATCGAGGCTTTGTACTTAACTCGGATGGCTTTGATCTTTGTTAGTATACTCTTCCTTTACTGAATTGCTTTTTTGGATCAAACTTTGGAAAGTTTTCACGGTCAATTACACCATTTACAGTTGTTGGGTATCGTTTGACAAACATTTCTGTGATGTCAACATATTTGTTTTAACTGATTCCCAGTCAAAACCGGCATGTATCTGATTAGTTTTATATCCGTGGGCAACATTTAGAAGTAGGGATACTTCGTCATCGGTCTATATTAAGTTTTGAACTTTTGACGTTTTGAAGGTTTAGCTATAGTGAAGTATTAACTCTCACTTAACTGTGAAAGTCTATAACTACATGCAACGTAATGCAGCATGTAGACGGCCAACCGGTGATGCATTACCTTCAAATATTTATATTGATACCATTTATAGTACGAGCGTAATTCATAATTTCATAAAAAATTATAATTACTTCAAATTTCTTATTTGAAAAACAAAAACAAAAAGCTATAGTCACTGACCAGTGACAGTGAATCTTGACTAATCAGAATGCAGGAAAATCAATAGTCACCTCGAAATTTATAGTAAAACTGTATAGAAACACGAAAAATGTTTCTTTTACCTAATTATTTAACATATCCCGTGTAACAACGAACGGGTTCAATGTATTTCTTTCGCTATTGGAAAAACATCGGCAAGCATTTATGATGTATGATGTTATATATTGCCTGATCCGATCCTCCTTATACATCTCCTCCACCATTGAATCTATTATCCATATATCCGCATCATGCGAAAAGTACCTTGAAATGGTCTGTACTCTATTAAATTACGACCAACATCACTTCAATTTTAGGGGTGGAAAAAATGTTTGTGACCAAAGTTTAGGCCGCTTAAAAGGAGAAGCAAACTACAAAAATAGCGACCAAAATTCTTGCATACCACAACAACTGTCAAACGTGATCAAGAGTGAGTCGATCATGAATGAGGAATTATTTCCTGAGGCTAATAATGGATCTGCAGGTATATATACGGTTAGATGAAATTACTTTTATGTGTAATTTAAGTGTTTTGTAATGAATAGAAGCTGAGTGGCAGCTTCATTAGATTTCATGTAAACAGATGATATACAGTTGATACAGATGCCACAAATTACTTAAGCGCAAATAAATACCTCGGGATTGCCTTTTATATTGCGGTTTTCACCTACTGTAAGGTCTTGGCCAAACCACATTAATTGATTGAGCGGCGGTTAGGAATATATAACATATATTCCTAATTCTTCCAAAATCACGGGTCGACAGCGATTGCATATTATTCTACAAAATACCTTATCTCTGTACATGTTTCCCGTGTCCAACACCCCTAGTAGGACTACCTTCTAAAAATGGACGAAAAATCCTTGTTTCAAACGCAACCACGTGCTTCTATATAAAATAATACTGCATTTCGCTATTTTAACCTATATACGGTCCGTTAAGTATATCTTTATCATTGTTAATAGCAACACCGCGGATAATGATGCCTTGTACATGCTGTGACAAATTGTGCAAACAACGGTGTTCTGCGTGTAAGGCACCGTACTGCAGTAGGGAATGCCAAAAGATCGACAGAGTACGACATAAACTTGTGTGTACCTATCAGAATAACTCTAAACCTGCCAAGTCAGAGGTAAAGGTTCCAGTAGCAACAAACGGACCCATGTCTGCGCCTGACGATCTTGATAATGATAGTGACTTTGACTGTATTGATATTTCATTGGAGTCCTCAACTTCAAGGAAAGCCAAGCCAAATACAGAACAGCGAAATGACGGTGATGTTTCCCTCGATAGTTCTTTTTGTCAGGATTCGGGTGTTGTAATATCAAGAGAATCTCCTTGCGAAGAGCTTAATTCTGATCCAAGGGTGGTAAGTTACAATTAATTTGTTTTCAAGTGGTTTGGCAACGAGCATCCTTATATAGAATACTGTATTCTCCCAATGGTGAGCTAGAATGCGAATCTTTTCCAAACATTGTAAACATGCGTGAAATCAAACAATTTTTTAATTTGCACTATGATTTTAATTCGCACAAAGATTCGCAAAGAAAGTTACATATTATGATTGGCTTTCTTAATGACATGTATGTTACAGCGGCGGTTCTGCTCATACCATTGGGGACTCCGTGATTTATGAATTATCCAAATTTCGCATGATTTTCATTGAACATAAACTCTATTTTTTATTCATTTAGAGATATAGTGAAATAAATAGTAATAAATACTCTGACAGGACAGAGATATGGCGATTCAATAATTATGTAAAGAAAGCGTTTGTTTACATTACCAACTGTAACCTACCTTAAAATTAAGTATCGACCCGTTGCACTGACGTCATAATCATTAAAAGTTGTCCTCCAGATGTTACCTTGCTACGCGAGCGGTGAAGGTTTATATAGCGGTCAAAAGCAGTTAACGAAGCAAAGTTTCTCACACTAGTAAATATTTCTGTATTTGGCCCAAAATTTACATTTTTGCAAAATTTATGCTAGGTTAATTTGTCCACGAGATGCCTAATGTGACGTCATATGGAAAGGGTCTAAACAGGTCTATAGCGTAAAAGTGAACCTCCTCCACATTTGGAGACCCTTTTCATACTATTTCCAGTTACACGATTTAAACAACCTTTGGATAATTTTAGGCAACTCATACAGCGGATATCAACGTCATAATGGCTTCAAACGTACCTAATGATGTATTACCCTCTACAATAGCCTTTGATATTGTAGTATGCTATTTCTTGACACCGAACTCATTTTGGATTTGGTTCATGAACACTGCTAAAGAATTGTTTATTCGACTTACTTCCCTGCTTAATGAAACTTACGAGAAGTCCACGTATTCAGAATATATGCCAGTCACCGGCCAACTGATCGCCGCGAAATTTAATGACGATATTTGGTACCGTGCCAAGGTGAATTGTGTCAATAAAGATTATACCATCAACGTTACTTTTATTGATTTCGGGAACACTGAGAATATAACTGTGTACAATTCTCGAAAGATCACGGAAGCCTTAGCGCTGATTCCTAGACTTGCGACCAAGTGTTCTCTGCATACAATCGAAGAGCCGACTCATAAGTGGCCAACAGATACTCTTCATTTCTGTAATGAATTGATGTTGAATAAGAAGGGCTCAGCCATACTGCATGAAAGCGTTCAAGACTCATTAGTGCTGGAGATCAATGTGGAAATTAACGGTGTAATGCGTTCAGTCGTTGATGAGATTGTCAACCAAGGGCATTTAATTTTAGACAAAATTACAACGCCGGATTCTGTTAGGCACGATTTACCTAAAGGGGAAATTCCATCCAAAGAAGAACCCGTCACGGGTCAGCACTTTCCTGCTGGCGATAAAACACCTATTTTGCGTAGCAACAAACCTTGTTTTCCCGACAAAGAGACTACTCTACCTTTAATCCAGCCTATTTCTCCAAGCTGTAACAAACTGTCTTACAACAAGACCCAATCGTTACCTTCCCACTGCCCAACAACAACAGGAGGAAAACCTGTGGTTTTTAGCAACCTGCCTGGTGACGTAAGCAACATTTCACTTTCCAAGCAAGCGATTTCATGCAGCAGCTCTGTTTTCCCCGCAGGCAAACATTCCACCATCACGCCGGAGATACCCGTCAAATATCCTGCAGCACTTTCTGTTCCTAATAGTATGCGCATTCTACCTGATGATTACAGCACCGCAGAGCCAACACCGCCAATTTCCCTTGGTAGTCAGAAATTTGGACTGCAATCCGCAGTGCCAAGTCCGAAAAATGTCTCTCCTGAGCAGATGGTATGCCAAAAAGTCCTTCCTATTCCCACCTTGCCGAGTACACCATTTGACGTAATTGTAAACGATGTTTCCACGACAGAACGATTTTACGCACAAATGATTGACCCATCGTTAGTAAGGCAACTGCACAAGTGTGTGCGGAAATTAAACGAATATATCAGAGAAAACCATCCTCCGGAAAAGAAGAATGTAATTGTTGGTTCCTTGGGTTGTGCCAAATTCTCCCAAGATAATATTTGGTATCGTGCTCAAGTTGTTGCAATGAAGGAGGCAAGTTACCGAGTTAGATTTATTGATTTTGGTAATGTTGAAGATGTAAATCCACTGGAATTTTTCGAAGGCCCGGAGTCCTTTTTTAAGTTGGCGCCTCAAGCGATATGTTGTCGTCTGGTTACCAGTGGCCGTTTTCGGGCGGACCAAAGCAGTAATATGATGAAAGCGTTAACATTAAATAAACAGTTTTCTTGTATTGTTGTTGGAGATGTATCATGTCCTGAAATATCTGTAAAATTGCTCTCTTCCGTTGGTGGCCGAGTAGTGGATACTACAGAAGAACTGGACAAATGTATCAATCTTAAGAATTAACCAAATTGTGTTTGTAACTCTTGTAACATATGGTTACTATTTATTTCGTTGTTCCTTTTTGCGTATATAGGTTGCAAAAATCACTACGGGACGGCAACTGATGCCTCTGGCCACAAGCTAATCTGCGTACAAAAATCAATTAATCATAAGCCAAATTCTCGACATTTGCATGACAAAACTGAGTTGTCATCTCCAGCATTCCCTACATATAACTATAGCAGTTGAAATTCTGTTATTTCTATGCAGGTACGCGATTATTTTTCTGTTCTATTGGGGTATTAATTTCGCGCCTTTAGACCTATTAGTATACCATGGGTGCCAGAGGTTTTTCCACGCTCGCAAAAAAACCACAAATACTATTTTCCAGGCGTCAGCAATCATTTAAGTTTCCCACAAAAAAACTTTCTGTTTTACCAACAAATTGAATCAAAACTATTAATATTCTTGTATGTTTGCATGGTGACAGTCGATAAGTAATTTAGCTTGTAGGTACACAACGTAAGTATTTAATACTGCAAAGCTTTCGGTCCGTTAACCCGGGCCTTCAGCAGTGTATATCTTTGCTGTTCATTCATAGCAAAGCAAACAGAACATAAGACATAAGAACATAACCATGTTACAAAAATGTTCGAGCATGTTCGTCTTAGAACATAAGACGAACTGCGAGAAAGGTAAACTGGATAAATCTGCTGTAGCTCACCATGCATGCGTGGACTTATGATCATCGCAGTAAATGGAAAGATGCAAGCATTTTAGCGAATGATAAGCAGTCTCTCGTGAAATAAGTTCATAATAATTTCATAATTATTTGGTAAGTGAAACCGTTTAATTATTGGCGCGAGCTAACAAATCACGACTAACGTGATATGTATTTAAGTGACGGTTAAATGTGTATTTAGGTTATCGCACTGATGAAAGCCCGGGTTAACGGACCGAAAGCTTTGCAGTGTCAAATACGTACATGGTGTACCTACAAGCTAAATTACTGAATCAAAATTGTTCAAAACAACTCCCGCTAGGCACTACTTGGGGGAAAAAAAAAACAATGGGGGATCAAATTTTTCTATTCGAAATTTATTAATATACTTTATTATATGTTTTATTATTTATCTTTATTATTCAATCTTTTCCGGAAAGTAATTTCGGAAAGACGATTTTTGTCACATAGTCAGTTTTGGCGTTACACAAGGAATGTTATTGAATGTTGTTGTTATTGACGTTCTTACCGTGTAGCTTGGACTTTAAATGAACACATGCATATTTTATATAAACTATAAATGGAATTAATATTAAATATGTAAACTGCAATCGCATGGTTTGTAACATTGAAAGCAAATATATTTCTCGTACAAGTCGACTCTTTAATCATGTGGTTTTACAGTCTCATCCTTTATTTACAAAACTATTCTCAACACTTGTAAAGACATGCGAAGACGTAGGTTACTATGGAATAAATAGCATAATTATACTGGTAATACTGCGGATTCTGGTAGACCGTTAAAGATATATATATATATATATATATATATATATATATATATATATATATTATATATTATATATAATATATATATATTATATATATATATATATATATATATATATATATATATATATATATATATATATATATATATATTATATTATATATATATACTGTCGTTGTCAAAAAGGTTGTCCTGAGCAAGTATATGTATATATCGATCACGTGACATTATTATGCGTCAACAAGCGTGGGATTGTACAAGCGTGTTAATTGCGAGTTCGTGTATAGCAAGGTGAACGATTAGAAAATGCCAAGACCATATTCGGATGATTTAAGGTGGACAGTGGTTTATCAACGACTGTTCTACGAAAGAATCATCGACGAAATTGCAGCACAGCTATTTGTTTGTTCAAAAACCGTCTATCGTACTCTCAGCACCTTTTGGAACACGGGTGATGTGAAGTCTTGCCGTATGGGTCGCCCAACAGCGAGCGTATCTTTATTCCCACACGAAGAATATATTATCATGGACTGTTTACTGCGAACGCCGCAAATACAGTTGAATGAGATAGCAAGCTATATGTAAACCTCTTCAATAGGATTCAAATCAGGTCTGTCGTACACTCGTTCTACAACTTCTTGTACATGATGTGTTGGGTGGTTATCTGTTAAAAATATGCATATTACTAGTTTTAGCAGTTGCATCTTTGTGCATCAACAAGTTTTGTTTAAACAGATATTAATAGATCAAAACATGATCACAAATTCAGTCATCCCTTGAGACATATGTTGGAACAGCGAATTTGCATTAATTATATTCAAATCTCACCCATAACGAGAACGGATCGCGGGTTTTCCCCATCAAATCGATTCATAGCTGGCAAAAGCTGTTCATCAAGAAAATAGATAAAGCCGTGTTTCAAATCTTTCTTCGGGATTCTTCAACAAACAGTTCGCAAGAAGTCCATCACACGATATTGCCGAAATAATGGAAAAGCGCGGTGTCCACCGTGCATAGCTATATAGTCGCTCACAACAGGCGGTATCCCACGAGCACTATATCCAGTTTGCCGAGCAATTCGTTTATCCTTAAAACATAGAACCAAATAAATAAGAAATCTACTAGTTTGTGCAATCCAGTTACAGTAAGGTATTATTTAGTACATACAATGCCTGTTTCATCGAGGAAAACGAGCAGGTTTGGGTCAAAAAGGCGGATTTCGGCCATGAATTGTAGCCCAATATCGTTTCTTCGCTGAAGGGCAATTCCCTTTATCTGAAAAAGAAAATCTGGCTTGAAGAGTTGATAAAGAACAACTAGAATCTTGTAATTAATTGGAAAAAGGTGGAATGGCTTGCGTCTTATAAATATAGTTATATGATTTCCAGCGTGCGGTATTAAGTATATATTCCAACTTAAATAATGTCATAATGTTCGTACCTTTTTGCGTGTTATTCCAAGCCTATAGAGAGCTCGGCACAGTGTCTCCTGGCCAAATGCAGAGCCAGTAGCATTAATGATATAGCCTGCTATCTCATTCAACTGTATTTGCGGCGTTCGCAGTAAACAGTCCATGATAATATATTCTTCGTGTGGGAATAAAGATACGCTCGCTGTTGGGCGACCCATACGGCAAGGCTTCACATCACCCGTGTTCCAAAAGGTGCTGAGAGTACGATAGACGGTTTTTGAACAAACAAATAGCTGTGCTGCAATTTCGTCGATGATTCTTTCGTAGAACAGTCGTTGATAAACCATTCTCCACCTTAAATCATCCGAATATTGTCTTGGCATTTTCTAATCGTTCACCTTGCTATACACGAACTCGCAATTAACACGCTTGTACAATCCCACGCGTGTTGATGTCACGTGATCGATATATGCATATACTTGCTCAGGACAACCTTTTTGACAACGACAGTATATATATATATATATATATATATATATATATATATATATATATATATATATATATATAAAAAGGTTGTCCTGAGCAAGTATATGCATATATCGATCACGTGACATTTTTATGCATGAACACGCGCAAAAGTTCTTCCTTTTTTTTGGTGCAAAAGTTTTAGGCCAAATTGTCACTTGTTAGTAAAATTCATGGTATTGCAAGACATGCTAGGTAGAAAGACTTGTAGTGGTCTTAGGCTTGGTACAGCCACCATGAAAGACCATTATTGGGGCACAATGCCCAGTCATTGACCCAACAAGCTTGTTTGTTACATCTGGATCAACAGCCTCACATGATTCGAAAATGGTCTCTTTGATTCTTCCAGATGTCGAGATGGTCTTTTATCTGACCTCTTCATCACTTCCTCACCAAAGATATTCAAACAGGTTCAGGTCAGAATTCTTTCGTTGCCCTGTACTGATTGATATTTCTTTCTGTGCATGGGGCTTTTTTCTCTGTCGCATGGTGCCCTATCTTTTTCAAAGATAAAGTCTCAACTTGCAAAGCTCTCTCCACCTTTTAGAAAATCCCAAGATCGTAAATTTTCGACTAGATACGGAAAATGGTATGTTTGGCTTGTATCTAGAACTTTCCTAATAGATGAGATGGCTTTCTGGTGGAGATTATATCTTCCAGTAAGATGGGGTACCATGTCATACAGAAAAGAGCCTGAAAGAAAGTGATATTGACCAGCCCAGGGCTATAAGAGATAGCTGACGTAGACCTCATTGAACATTTTTGGGAATAAGTGAGGAAGAGGCTAGATAGAAGACCATGCCGACATGTGGAAGAATCAAAGAGACCATTTTCGCATCACATGAGGCTGTTGATCCAGATGTAACAAACAAGCTTGTTAGGTCAATGACTGGGCATTGTGCTGCAATAATGGTCTCTCATGGTGGCTGTACCAAGCGCAAGACCACTACAAGTCTTTCTACCTAGCATGTCTTGCAATACCATAAATTTTACTAACAAGTGACAATTTGACTGGGGGCCTAAAACTTTTGCACAGTACTGTATATAATATGTTATTTACCAAATTGGTGGTCCGTATAGGGAAATATTTCCCAAGGTCTCAAAAACAGCCCGAGGCAAAGGCCGAGGGATGTTTTTGAGACCGAGGGAAATATTTCCTTATACGGACCGACTAAACTGGTAAATAATGGATTTATTTTTTTATTAACCGTCCTCCATGCGTGCGTGCTTCTAAATCTCGCGCGGTCCGTACGAGCTCATACGGACCGCTCGCGTAGCCAATCAGATTGCAGGAAACGCTAAAATATGAATTCGGACCGCAAGAAAAAAAAGAGAATAGTTATCGCGTTAATTTTACCCGTTTATTTTACCTAAGGAACAACTCGTGTAAAAGACATATTTTGTTAAACACGAATTATATTTTAAACACAGAAGTTTCGATATAACAATGCTTTATTCCTCATAAACTCGCAAATACAGCTAATTTACAGTAATAGCCTTATAAGGTAAAAAACTAGGACCTACAATCGTCCACAAAATATATTGAGACTTTTCAAATTATGCCCCCCTTCCCCCTATTTCAATGTTGTGGGACATGTACTAACGCTAACGAAGTGTGAATTTGCCCTAAAATGACGCGGGCATGTGTAGCCATTGATTCCCAATACGTTACTTTAAGGTTGAACAGGTTATATTAGAAACAACATTGAAATAGGGGGAGGGGTTGTTTTTGTCTCAGATATTATGTGGACGATTGTAGTTCCCCGTTCTCCCGCTTCTTCGTTGACTACAACTATGTCAAAAGTCACTACTAAAACCCTTCGAAAGGAGATTATACACGAAAACCCGTCAGAAAGCGACGGAGGAGAACATTCTGACCACGAGTCAAGTAAAAACACGCCGCCCAAGGCACAAACGTCTCGCGAATCCTTCGGCGAGTTCAAAATCCCGAAACGTAAACATGCGAAATCTAAACGCAGCCGTAAGTCTAAAAAGAGCAAACGCTCCAAGACCTACAAGGACTCTTCCAGTCATACGAGTGACTCTAGCAGCAGCGAGAGTTCAACCTCTGTCTCGGATAGCGAGTCTTCCTCGAGCGCTAGTGAAAAGCAGGTGTGGGTTTCAGACGGCGAAAGCGAGACCGGCGAGAACTTTCCAGCCGAAATTCTCGACTTCGCAACTGAAGCTGTTTTTTCTGGTTTATCGAAACCAACCAGGAAAAATTTACTAAAGGAAACTCCCGTGCCTGTGCTTACTGATCTGCAGCCGAAAAAGGTCGATGCATTTATTAAAAAGTACCTGAAGCGAAAAGGCACAAATTTCAATCCCATCATGGACCGACGCCAGCTTAACTTGGCTGCTCGTGTTATCGACCCTGTGGGCCCACTTTGTCACCTTTGGGCTTTGGCTCTCCTTGCCGACAACAGGGAATGCGAATTACCACCTTCTGTGGTAGTGACACAAGCTTCGGGGACGTATGCATACCGTTCGTATTTGGAAACCCTCCTTAATTATGGTAGTGATGCTAAATAATCCCAGCACACTGCAGCTTTGTTTTATAAAGATACAGCAAGAAAATTCGATGTGGCTAATCCTGCAGTATTGCTCGCTGCTAACACCAACTCTGGTCTTAAAAAGAGGTACGAATTCAGCAGCGAGAATAAAACGATTGAGATGGCTGTACCTATATTTAGTGATGTGTTGTTTTCAGAACGTCTCCTGTTAAGCTTTGTAGACCTAAAAGTTATTCTCAATCGTAATATTAACGAGTTTTGTTTGATGGCTTCTGAAGATGGTGCGGATTACAGAGTCAAAATTGATGGTGATTACAGAGTAAAATTACCAACCATTTCCATGGCCCATGAAATTGCATTAAAAAAGGTCCTGCTATCTATCCTATCCGTCGTGTTGAATGTAAAAGTTTCATTATTCCAGCTGGAATAATGTGTTGTTTCCAATTTTTAGCCACCTCAGTAAAGGCTTATTTTTATTCCCACTTTCTTTTGAGATCTCTTTCTTATGTAAAATCCTTAACGCCACAACCAAACTCTGCTTCTCTTCGTCCTTTTGTTTAATTTTTGTATTTAGGTCTGAAAATACTATTGTAGAGTACTCAAACTTCTGCCTAAAGGCTAGTTTCCACTCAGGAAAATTCTCCTTTGGATCGGACAGGACAAGGAAAGTTTCCTTTGTATAAACGCCACCTGAGAACTCACCGACAAAGGAAATTTTCCTGTCTGTTCCGATCCAAAGGAGATTTTTCCTGAGTGGAAATTAGCCTTAAGGGTAATGTTCTCGGTTTTTAGCCTGTCATTTAATTATTTATGCTAGTTATACTGTATAATCGCTTGACAGCTCTAAATTACAATCATCGGCTTTCCTAGATTTGCATACTTGAAGGCAACTTCATCAATTCTATTATTTAATTTCTCCTCCATCGCAGATATTCTGCCCAATATTGCTGTAGAATTTGTGTAGGTTACCCCCCGGCCCCATATAGCGTGGACCCAGGCTCCCAGCACGGAACGTCGGAAACTATCGAATTTTTCCGAAGATGTGCGTAGTCTCCACGCGCGAGTAGAATAACGCGCGGGCGCGAGGAATGGGATAAACAATGAAGCGTAAATACGCACGATATGTTTGTTTGACACCAATTTACTCAAATTACACAAATGCTGGTTTATTTATCACACCGTAAGAATTTGCGAAGAGTATATTTTATTTTACTAGGGTTACACATTTGTATGTCAATATTTAGTACCATTAGGGGCTGTTTACATGAGCCCGGTTACCCGAGATTCAACGAAGCATGACAGGACTTCCAGGTATTGAAATAAGTCTTTATGACACCAAACAAGCACATGCTATTGTTATGGTGATTATTCGACTGCCAAGCTCATGTTATCTGTTCATTTTAATACCTCAAAATACCTCGTTGAATCTCGGGTAACCGGGCTCATGTAAACAGCCCCTTAGACTAATGTTCATTTTAAAGATTCGTTTTCCATGCACGCTTTGTGATACAGTTGAGTTCATACGTTAACGGTTAACCTTGATTTAATTGTCCTCATATCATAATGTTAATATGCCGTTGACATCCAAAATCGGTATCCATTTTTCTTTTGCCTTTTCTTTTGCCAGTTCTTTTAGAATTTTATTTTTTCAAGACTGGTGAGACACATGTCGATACGCTGTACAAGTTCGTCCTTCCATGAGAATATGATGATGGCTGTCCACGGATTGGATTGTATATGGTAAAATTATTATTATTGAGTTTAGTTAAATAGTATATTTAAGGTCGGACGTCTGAGGAGACATCTAAGCTTGTCATCGGACATCGGGACACACGAATCATTTTCATACATCAATTTTTATATTATCGAGTTACTCCAAAATATTAAATATTCTATATATGCTTTGTGATAAACTGTTCTCGTTACTTGTAAAGGGTTCTATTGTTGTTTCATCTGTGTACTTGCATGGAACATGAGGTGGAACATCGGTTACAAATTTTGTGCGATGAGCAGATGCTCGTAACCTCCGTAACTGCTCATGAGCAGGTGCTCATCTGCTCAATGAGATATTTCATACCCACTTGAAATTTTTGTTGATAAAATGAAAATGTAGCTATGAACTAGCGGCCGGAAAGAAGAAAATTTCAGACATGGATTAAAGATTTAAACATTTATTTGTCTTGCAATTAGTTACAGCAACAAATAATAATTTCTTCTAAAACGTTTTATTATTTTTTTTGCTCGTTTGCCATGCTTTCCTCATCGAAACCTCTGTTTATGAGGCTTTCTTTCATTTCCGCGAAAGTTGTGTTACTTCTTTGTTTTGCTTCTTCTATTAGTGGTATCCAGGGATCCATTTCTTCTCCACATTAAATTCTGAGTCAGTCGCCGTCGAACTTCCAGACTGCTGAGAAGAAGTTGTTGAGACATCGTCACGGAAATCTCTTTCTTGACTGTCCGAGTCTGTTTGGGACATGTTTTTTTCTTGTTCTCGTAATGGACAGTATTTCCCGTTCGTGTCTACGCTGATTGTAACCGCGATTAATTGTAACCGTCACCCAATTTTCGCCTTTAGTTTCATCAGTCACTCCCAGTACCTCTAGTTATATTCACCACAATTCGCGCGACACAAAAACGTTTTCATGCAGGGCAGTTAATGCTTCAGACGCTCTTCGCAGTAAGTTAGCTGAAGCCATCGATCCTTCATTAAGTGCGCATGAAAAAAAGAAACTCGAACAGTTACTTTTGGATTATACGGACGTGTTTAATTTCGGACAAACTCGGACATCTCGACGTAATTAGTCACCAGATTGCTACGGGCACCCACACCCCATCCCATCAAGCAACGTCCTCGCCGCTTACCATATACTTATAGAGAGGAGGCAAGTAGACATGTTAAAGAAATGCTTGATCAAAACGTGATTCAACCAAGTACTAGTGCATGGGCTTCGCCTGTTGTTTATTCCGCAAGAAGGACGGTCAACTACGCTTCTGTGTTTACTATCGCAAATTAAATCAGGTTTCAAAATGTGAGGCATTTCCGTTGCCAAATACTTCCGACCTACTAGATTCGCTCATAGATGCAAAGTGTTTCAGCACATTAGACTCGAATAGTGCCTACTGGCAGGTTCCTATGGATCCCGATGACCGCGAAATAACCGCTTTCACAACGCAGAATGGCCTACACGCGTAAAAATCAACATGTTGATGCAAGTTGTTAAAAACAGGATGGAGCAATGTTGTGCTGCACCCTGTGAACAGTATTGTTGACAATGTTGTTGAAGCTTGTTGAACTATCAATACTGTTGCAACTTGTTACAACAACATTGCATCAACATTGATGATTCAACAAGCCTTCAACAACATTGTTAACAATACTGTTCCCAGGGTGCAGCACAACATTGTTCACGCCTGATACGACAACCTGATCAATTTTTGGCCGTGTACACGCGTAAAAATCATCATGTTGATGCAAGTTGTTAAAAACAGGAGTGAACAATGTTGTGCCGCACCCTGCAAACAGTATTGCTAACAATGTTGTTGAAACTTGTTGAACTATCAATGCTGTTGCAACTTGTTACAACAACATTGCATCAACACTGATGATTCAGCAAGGCTCAACAACATTGCTAACAATACTGTTTATGGGGTGCAGCACAACATTGTTCACCTCTGATGCAACAACCTGATCAATTTTCGGGCGTGTATATGAATTCTTGCGCATGCCCTTTGGTTTAGCCTCCGCACCTTCAACGTTTCAACGTATGATGGAAATTGTACTCTCTCACCTTAGTTTTGAAATGTGCCTTTGTTTTTTAGACGATGTAATAATTTTCTCCAAGACATTTGATGAGCATTGCGAACGATTGCAGGCAGCTCTTTCGCGATTTAGGCAACATAATATTCCATTGCCAAAATGCAAATTTGGCGCACGCCAAGTAATTCCTGGGTTTGGTCGAAAGACGTAAGAACTTCATGTAAGAGATATTTAAATGGTGACCGTGAAGGCAAAATGGTTGTCGTTGCTTTTGTTCATCCTGATTTGGGAATTGGAGGAGCGGAAAGACTTGTTGTCGATGCTGCTTTAGCTTTAAAAACCCGCAGTCACAAAGTGCATATATTCACCGCTCATTATGATCCATCTCACTGTTTTCACGAGACGAAAGACGGCTCAATTCCTGTGACTTGTATTGGCGATTGGTTGCCTCGTCATCTTTTTGGATATTTTTATGCATTGTTTGCATATATACGGATGATCTATGTCGCTTTCTATTTGGTTATGTTTTCCAAATATCAGGCGGATGTTGTATTTTGCGACCAAATATCGGCGTGTATCCCAGTGCTTAAACTGTCGAAGGCGAAAATTGTGTTTTACTGCCACTTTCCTGATCAGCTTTTGACAAAAAGACAAAGTTTTGCGAAGAAATTATACCGTGCCCCGTTGGATTGGCTTGAAGAAAAAACTACAGGTATGGTGTTTTGCAGGACTGAGCCTGGAGGGACTAGGCAGGTACTACAAACATGTAAACTGTCAAGTCACTCAAATGTACGTATATAGGTCACCCTGGCAGTCCTGGCTGAGCAACATTTAGGGAGTCAGAGGTATTTTCATCTTAAAATGCCGCCAATTGTGGGGCATCTTGTTCAGTCATGCAACTTGTCGCAAGGCTGAACATTCCAAAAGATTGAATACAAGTATTGTTGTTATCCTATAATTAGGACATCCTTGTCAATATGTATCATGGCAAGATACCACGCCTGTCAAACAACAATGTGATAGATCTGTAATAAAATAACATGTACTGGTATTTATATAATAATGTTAAGAATTCAAGCAAATTCATTGGTCGAGAGCCATGATCTAAAAGAGGACAGACATACAGAATGACCTCACAGAAATTTACGAAATGTGCATCCTAATTTAGTAAAATTACCAAGTTTGGCAGCAAAAAGTACAGAAAATATAGCCATGTTAATTTGGCAATTTTGTTTACTTTTTTACTAGGCAGGAAGTGTGTGACTAAATTAGTTAAACGATTCCGGCCTACGACAGTTAAAAAGTATACAAAATTGGCTACTTTGCATGGCTGTATTTTTTGTAATACTTGACATTTTGGCAATTATACTAATTTTGGTATGCTCTTTTTAGCTGTAGTGATTTAGATTATAAGTAAGGTGTACGTACCTAGATTGTAAGTTAATTGGTCTTTTATCCATTATGTTGTGGTTTCCATGTTTGAAGGGCCTGATCTTGGAACAAGCAGTGACAGAGCAAATGTTTCCTCTTAATGCTTGGCATAACAGCTAGGTTCACTAATCTTTATTATCTAAGTTGGGACTTGATTAAAACATTAATAAAAAAAATAGGTATGCTAAGCCTATGTGTATCTGCTCACAACAATCTAGTTTGGACAGCAAAATTGTTTTGATCTCCGAAGGGATTGACTATTTACCTCATGAGAATAAGTTCCATGTTCAGAAAAACTTTTATACTAAACTAGGTTGTGGTGTGAGCGCATTATAAACTAATCGCTGATTGGCTAATTATATAAACCCATCGCTGAATGGTTATGTGTTAACATATGGTATGTTTGAGATGACAATATATCTGCGTTTCGCAGATACAAAATTCTAAAAAAGATGGTTGGAATTCATCTTCGGTTGCATGGTTCAACCTAACCATTGAATACTATGGTACAGTTTTCAATGGTTAATCAGATAAGATAAATTGTCTGATAGACCATTTGGATCAGATTTTTGACAATCATTTTTGGTATGATATTAAGAATGATAATTTAGTATGATATTTTTTATATAATTTCTGTGTAATATATTTATATTATACAGCTTTCTTTTTCTAATTCTCATTCTGAAATTGATTCTAAAACTTTAATCATTCAGCATTTATATTTGGATGTGAAATTTCATCCTGCGCTGTCAGCGCTGAACAAAGTGATCCACATCAATATGATGAAACATGTATTTATACAAATGCAAATACAGGCTAATGGGGTTTAAAATATCTTCAAATCACTTCTTATTGAATCATTGTTATGACATCTGCTACCATACTAATTATAATCACCGTCATTTGTCTAATAGATTAATTTTTTTCATTATAGGCATGGCAAATTGCATACTTGTTAACAGTAACTTTACAGCACGAACCTTCTTCAGAACATTCACATCTTTGACAAATACGAATCCAAGAGTTCTGTATCCTTCATTAAATTTCAAAGCATACAACCAAGGAATTGATTCGGAGGACAATATAGAAGGAGTTCCAGCAACTGCCAAGCATATTTTTCTATCAATAAATCGTTTTGAAAGAAAAAAGAATCTGCAATTGGCACTGGAAGCCTTCGCGATCTTAAAAGATAAAATATCGTTGGAAAAATGGAAAAAAATCACTTGGTTATGGCAGGTATGGAACGTCTGCTTATTTGGAAAAAAAATGGGTCGGTTGTTCAAAGCCAGGTTAGCGCTAACCCTGGGTTAAATTTTACTTCGCTGTTTTGGTTTATATGCTTCTACACCGCTGTTTGTTTCAAGTCTTTACAAAATAAGACTTCTATTAGTCCTCAAAATATTTGTGAAAAAACATGTTCAACTTCATAAACGAGTAATTAAAAAAGATAGACGTGCAAATTGGAGTTAACCCTGGGTTAAGCTAACCGGCTTTTGAACAACCGGCCCAATTTTCTCTATTTTTGGAGTTACTTATTGCAGTTTGAATTTATTCCCCGTGGAATGGGTCTGAGAAAAAAAGTCACACCGCGTATAGTTCAGTTGTAGGGTATTAGAATTTTAACAGTAAATCGTTTGTCCTTCCCAATATAGCCTGTGTTTAATAATATGAATAAGTTTACCACCGCTGGGTCCCTAAAATATAGGAATCTCATATTCGTCCATTCAAAATTAAGAGACGAATAAAGACACGTATAGACGGGCATGCATGCAGTTTTCCTTGAAAAGGAGCCTTGTTCAAAAGCACATGAGAGCCCAGCTTTATGTATCTGTATATATATATATATATATATATATATATATATATATTATGTTATATATTATATATATATTATATATTATACAAATTTGGATCTGTGCGTAGTGAATCAGAGTGCTCAATACCAATACAATAGTAGAGCAAATAAATCAACAAATTACAATCTTATATATATATATATATATATATATATATATATATATATATATATATATATATATATATATATATATATATATATACACACAATACAATTGAAGATAAAAAAGTTAAAAACCATTCGCTTGGTTACTCGAGTGTCACCCCTGTAAAAAGCGATCATCAGACTAATATTCCTTATATTTACAAAGCATTTATACCTAGAAAACATCCTTAAAGTATTTACATAAGGCCAACAATTAAGTTGAATGCAAATTGCATAAGAGTTGAATTTGTTTTTGTGCCTACATGATGAAATTAGTTCTGACTTTTTGTTCAATAAGAAACGCTTGTCGGCATTTAAAATGCAAAGTTTCTCCGCCAGGCAGAGGTTGCATTGTCTTGATCCACCACGGTAAGCACGGTCTCGCTGTATAACTGACCACTTGATTGAATACTTTATTCCTGATTTCTTTAATTTCCAGAGGTACTTCGACAGCGATGTTTTTGTTGCGTATTTCTTCTTTTTTTGAAAGTGTGCTCTGTCATACCAATATAGTTTCTTGTGGTTTGATCTTCGGCTGTTACTGTTGCCTCGTATACTATATTACTGGTCTTACATTCTCCATTAATCGGGCAATCGGATTTGACACGGCAATTAGCACTTATTAGCTGGGGACTCGTCGTTGGCGTCGCGTGTTTCACGTTGGATCTTTGTATTATGGCTCTTAATATTTGCCATATTGCTCATACAGCTGTAACTGACCTTCATGTTCGATCGGTTTAACAGTTGGTGGAGAGGGTTGTCGATACATAGTGTGGCTAGGCAAGGCAACCGCATTTGCTAACCAAATTTACGCATTTGATGTAAATCTTTGCGCTGAAACGGAAAATAACAACTTGTTTTTGCCAGAAGGTCTTTTACAAAATAACAACTTGAAAGACCGTCCGTTTCGAAACCAACATTTCGGCCCCTTAAAGGCGATATTGAAGCCTTTACCTAAAAATTATATGGGTTCGAAACTTTATGATAAATCTAAACTAGCATTTAATCTAATATGTGTATATTTGTATATATTGCTCCTGGCTATCGCCGTCTATTAAATCTTAATTATTTTCTACTTATCGTCTGTTGGAGCAATTTCAGATTCCAGGAAGATAATCTTGTCCACTGGTCGAACCAACACCGATAAGCTTGTCTTCACTTTCACAGAACGCACGAGACCATCCCGACGGTTGGTGTAGACGTCAAGGACGCGTCCCATTGGCCAGCTGCAGCGTGGAATTTTCTCATCGAGGATTAAGACAATATCACCAACTTCTAGATTCCGTCGTTTCTTAAGCCATTTCTGCCGTTCTTGCAATGATGGTAAATACTCTCTAATCCATCGCCTCCAAAATACATTAGCCAGATACTGTACTTGTCGCCATCGCCTCGTGCTGCAGCAGTCGTCCTTTGAGAAATTTCCAGGTAGTAAATTTGTTCCGCTTCGGAGCAATAGGAGATGGTTGGGGGTTAGAGGTTTCAGATCGTTGGGGTCATCTGACAACTTTGTCAATGGCCGTCCATTGACAATAGCTTCGACCTCGCACATCAATGTGTTGAGGCCTTCGTCATCGAGTAACTGTTCCTTGGTAATAGCTCTCATTACCTTTCGAACTGTTCTTATACATCGCTCCCACACCCCGCCGTGGTGTGAGCCTGCAGGTGGATTAAATGTCCATTTAATGCTACGTTGCACGAGGAAGTCATGGATTTGATTTTGGTTCCATTTTTCGATTTCTTGCCGAAGTTCTTTTTCGCCTTTTACGAAATTACCTCCGTTGTCCGACCGCATTTCCTCAGGTTGGCCCCGTCTTGCGATGAATCTTCGTAAAGCATTTATGAAGGATTCCGTATCCAAAGAATTTGCTACTTCTACATGGATTGCTCGAGTTGTTAAACAGGTGAAGATAATACCATATCGTTTCGCACTCGTTCTTCCACGGCGTACAGAGAACGGGCCGAAGCAATATACGCCAGTAAAGGAAAATGGGGGTTTTCCGTAAGTTACGCGATCTGCCGGGAGGCCTGCCATCTTTTGTTCGACGACAGGAGACTGTCTTTTTCTGCAGCTAACACACGCATTCAATATCTTTCGAACTGTAGCCCGTGCTTTGATTATCCAAAATCGCTCTCTTATCAAAGATAACGTGTATTCTATGCCAGAGTGACCAGAGACGTGGTGGTAATATTTGGTGATTAGGGTGACTACGTGGTGGGTTTTAGGAAGGGTAATTGGGTGACGAGCGTCATCGCTGATCTGTGCTCGTTGGATGCGACCTCCGACTAGAATGAGGGCGTCGACTAGGATAGGGTCGAGTTTTGCAATACTGCTAGCATTGCTAACCGAGTTGTTGTATCTTTTACTTTGAAGATGTCGAAACTCTTCCTCAAAGCAGCCCTGCTGTACGAGTTTCAAAACTTCACGTTCGGCATTGATCTGTCAAACTGATTGGTGGGATATCTGCTGATGGTAGGAATTCTCCCCGATCTTTCTGTTGAGATTGGGTACGCGAACGCAGATTTCTTATATAGCGTAGTATAAGGGCGAATACTCTTCTTAATCTGCTCCCCGATGAAAACCTTTCAATTAGTTGATCCGTAAACTGTTTCTTAGAAACGTGCGCTATACTAGCAGCGCAAACAAACGAACCGTGCTTTATTTCGGGGTCGTCGTCTAGGACCGTCGTGGTTGATCCCAGATCTTCAGGTCTCTTTGGCCATTCTCCGGGTGGCTTAGTAAGGAAATCGGACCCTTGATCCATCGCAGAAGAGAGTCTGCCGGCACGCCTCTTGATGTGTCATCCGCAGGATTTGAACGAGTGTCCACGTAATTCTATTGCTTGGGGGTCGATGCATCATGTATTGTCGCTATTCGATTTGCGACAAACGTCTGAAATCGCTTGGTCGTGTTTTCAATGTAGCGCAAAACGCAAGTGCTGTCAGTCAAAAAGAAAGATTGATCGGTAGGCAAGCTCAATTCATTTCTTGACATCTTGTCGAGCTTCGTAGACACTACAGCCGCTGATAACTCCATTCGGGGTATCGTTACTGGCTTCATAGGCGCAAGTCGGGATTTTCCCATCACGAACAAACATTTGACATTTCCCGATATGTCTTCGATGCGAATATAGGACACAGCTCCGTAACCTTGCTGCGAGGCATCGTGGTGAAGTTGTGTGATTTGATCTCATTCATTGTAGCTGGTTTGAAGCAACGTTCGACAGCTAAATTTTCAAGTTGAGGTAGATCGTGTAGCATGCTTGCCAGTGTTTAAGATTTCATCAGGAATCTTATCGTCCCAGTCGAGCTTTAATCGACAAAGTTCTTGTAAGATCAATTTTGCCGAGAGAATATAAGGAGCAACGAATCCGAGGGGTCGTAAATAGAACTGACGATCGAAAGTATTCCTCTTCTTGTTGCCGGTCGATCCTTAATCACGATTGCGAACCGAACGTGCTGAAGACACGTTCCACCTGACGCCTAGCGCTCTTTCTATTGGAATCTTGTCGAAATCCAAATCTTTGACTTGAGCTGCTCTTTCTGCTTCCGGCAAGGATTCAATAACCTTTCGAGAATTGGACACCACTTCGTCGTGAGATTAAATCCTCCTAGTGATAATAATTCGCGTAATTCCTTCGAAAGTTTGATTGCTTCTTCTTCGTCGCGAACTGATTTCAAACAATCGTCGACATAAAAATTGCGTTTGACGGTCTCGATGGTTTTGTCGTGGAAGTTCGATGCATTGTCCATCGCCGTTTTCTTCAGTGCGTAATTCGCACAACTTGGCTAGAAGTACCGCCGAACAAATGGACGTTCATTTGATACTCTTCGGGAGGGTTCTCGAGATTGCCGTTCGGCCACCACAGAAATCGTAGAGCATCTCTGTCGCTTGGTCGAACGCGGACTTGATGAAACATTTCTTCGATGTCGGACATGAACGCAATGGGTTCTTTGCGGAACCGTGTTAACACCCCGACGAGTGAGTTGGTTAGGTCCGGCCCCTGTAAGAGCCGGTCGTTAAGGGAGTGTTGCCGTATTTCGCAGAACAGTCGAAAACAACTCTGACTTTATCTGGTTTTTGTGGATGGAAGACAGGATGATGTGGAGGTACCAGCGCGTACCTAACGATCCTTCTTCGTTGTTGATTGCTTCGCTCGCGTAGTCTTTCTCGAATAGTTTATCCATGAAATCTCGGTATTTCCGAAGAAGTTCGGGATTGTTGTTTAGTCGTTTT